GTATCTCGTCATTTTAATTTTCATATTATGTTCTAAATTACCGAACTCAGTTACTTTCTCGGTCCTATTCTTCAGAACTTTACTTAGCATTTGACATTTGAAGTGTCAACCTAAATATTCAGGAGGCATTTAAAAAGGAAAACCGTATTTATTTGGGGTGAAGAAATATAATTCACAGTACACAGTTTCAGGTAGAAACTGTATATTGTGTCCCAAGCCAAGGAGGTAAGGTGACTATTTTTAACCAAAAAATAAAAAAACAAAATCAGAGTTACTTAAAAAATTAGCCCAAAATGGAGTCCTTCTTGCTGGGTCTGCACATAGACTTAGTATCTAATCTTATTGCAGTTACAACCCCTTCCAAAAATGTCATCATGAACCAAACAATCTAGAGATTCCTAATCAGCCCCAGCAAGGCAATTTGCATGCTAAGAACTCCCTAGCTTTTCCCTGAGGAAAGGTGGCTTTACCTAAAATAATCTTTTCTTTTTAATAACCTAGGTCCACAATCTTTCTGTGTATAATTACCCTCCATTTTGCGTAACCCCTTGTAGTATCTAGACTGGATGTTTCCTGATTCATGATTCATTTAATAAAGTCAATTAGATCTCGAGATTTGTGATTTTTTTTAAAACAGAGGTATTCAATTATTTGAGATTATTGAATTACAAATGAGGGTAAATAATTTCAGATAAAAAACCTAACGTTTCACAAGAAGGGGTAAAAATAGGATTCTATGGGAAGAAAAGAGAAAAAAAAACTAACTGGTTAAGGAAAAGTTAAATAGTGTTAATAAGCTTAAACTCTCTTTGGCTATACATAATCAATTACTGATTCTATCCTCATGCAAAAGTCCATAATCATCACTCTTTTCAATTAGGATGTTCTTCTGCTGGGTTCTCAGACACCAGTTCTTGAAACAAATTGCTATTTGGCCCAGTTCAAGGGTCTTTTGTCCCAGTACATGTCCCATCACGACAACTCTGACCCTTTTTAAAAATGTCTCACTAATGTGTTTATCACACCATTCTTCTCTCCGTGGCTTCACATGGTCTTCCCTTTGTTCCTGTCTGTGTCCTTATTTCCTCTTAGAAGGACACCTTTTGTGGACTTCTAGTGAGTCCGAACCTGGGACACGACGGGGAGGGAAATCAGACATGGGGAACTGTCATGTCCAGCATGCAGTAAATCTTTATTATCTTAGTGCTCATTATATACTATTTTAATTGCAGCAGGTGTAACATCAAAGCATACCATATAATGATAACATGTATGAATGATTAGTCTATTTTCTTACTATTATCTATTTACTTCAGACAGTAGGGTACCAGGAGGTTAGTTCTCACACACATAATCTTATCGCCCCCTAGCCAGAGCCTGGGAAGTTCACTCGTTATTTTTGTTATTCTCAAACTGTGGAGATGTACGCAGGTCACTTCCAGGCTCTCAACACCAAGTCCTGTCACCCAGAGGTTTTCCTCCGAGACGCATGTGTTTTCACATGCCTTAGGGACTCGGGTCAAGGCCCTTCTGCTCACTACACAGGGTGACCGCCTCCAACAACCTTTCATATTGGATTAGGACCTTCTCTAATGACCTCATTTCAAATTAATTATCTCTTTGAAGATTTTTCTTCCAAAAATAATCACACTTTGAAATTCTAGGGGTTAGAACTTCAACATATGAATTTTGGGGGCTACAACTCAGTCCATAACAGCCGGGTACTAATCTGTTGTCCTTCACACAAACTATTTTACAGGAACCATCTCATTGCTATTTTACTTTTATAGATTAAATTGAGGTACAGACACATTAAGCAGTTGTCTAAGGTTGTAGAATATCTAGGAATCAGTAGAGCATATCCTGAACCATGAAAGGCTTTTGGACTGCTAAAGGGTGAGTTGGAGCTGGCCCAGCAAAGTTACAGAGAGCAAACCAGGTATGGGGAGTATACAGAAAGGCCCTGGAGAAGGAGGAGGTTTAGTACACATAAGAGGATAAAAAAGCAGAGTTGATAATGTTAGAGAAGTGAGCCAGGACAAATCATAGCAGTTTTTACAGGCCACAATAAGGATTAAGATTTCGGTCTTTATCCTATGAAAAATGAGAAACCATTGGAGGATGACTCCTGTTGAGTAGAGAACCACGTGAAAGAAATTCAAAAATCTGTTGCAAGTTTTTAAAGCCAAGGAACCTGAGATCCACTAGTTTTTTAATACACAACACCCACATTTCCAGAGAATTCACAATCTTAAGGGTGAAATGTGGGTCTGCCAGACTTTGTTACCTGCAATTCTGCATTCCTATACAAAGGTCAGAACTGCCCAGTCAATCAGTTATAACCAAACCTTACAAGGTGCCTTTCGAATCAACCAAGAGCAAAAAGCTTGATCACTCTGGGAAGGCTATGCATCACAAGACATGCCTGGGAATGCCTAGGGAGCCCGAGGACTGATGTGTGACAAGGGACCCCTGAAACTGATCAACGGAATGTTTTGTTAATAAGATTAGAACCATGGCTGGGGGTTTGGGGTATGGTTTTGATGACAACACTTAGTTATCAAGCAGATAAGAAGTATCTAGGCAACAGACTCATGTCCCCCCAAAGTTCTAGATGACAAAACACATACTTTAGTTTCACCCATTTTTTTCTCCTTGACCTCCTACACCACATAACTGATGCTGTATGATTATTCTATCCATAAAAAGTCCAGGATCTTGCTTGTTCAGGAGCATTGTGCAGTCTGCTCCATGACTCCCGTTCATCAGTGTGGTGTTGCTGACACAATAGTGAAATATTTGCAAAACTGGCCTCCTGCATGTGTGAACTATTTAAAGCAGGTGGGTATGTATTTGAAAGATATGTATAGCATAGATGATCTGTTTGCTATGCTGATCTCCCTAGGAGAAATAGAAAGATGAAAATTTCAGTTCTGCTATGGTACAAAGACTTACTCTTTAAATTTATTTTGTATAATTGCATGAAAATTTTTTAAAATTATTTTGCATCATTTATTGTTCTGGGGTGTAAGCCAGAGGTTGGGGGCAGGGCAGGTAAGAGGATTCACTAAAGACCCAGTGGGGAGCAGAAAAGGTGGAGCTACTGAAATACACTGCTGAAGGGAACAGGAGAGGTCTATTGCTCTTGGTAGCCAGACAGATTATGCAGATGCTTCTCTTCACTGACTTTCCCCCTTTTGCAGGGCGGCAGCCCTTCTGTTTGCCTGTGCCTATCCCACCTGTGCCTATGCAGGTGCTCCTTGTTGCCAGTTTTTTCCCTTTGCAGGGCAGCAGCTCTCCTTGCCCACCTGTGAGCAAGGGTGCTTTCTCTTCACTGACCTCCCTTTGCAAAGCAGCAGAAGCTGCTCTTCTCCAAAGATTGTCCATCTGTGACTATGCAGGCCTATCTTTCAGCAAATCTGTCCCATTCATGGGCAGCTCATCCTGCTCGCTTGTGTCTATGCAAGTGTCCTTTATTCTTCTCTCCCTTTTTATAATAACCTGCCCTTTTGGATATAAATCAACGCCTCTTTTGGATATAAATCAACCCAAGGACCCAGTTCTCTGAACCAAACACCTCTCCAAACCAACATCAGTTTTGATATCTTAGCTATAGTAAATAACAGTGCATGTTTGGGCTGTCTTAAATGGAAGACCTGGTTAAGGTAGAAATTCAGCATTAAAAGTTGAGTTGAAAGAATAAGACAAAATAGCTTTGCTTAGAATTTTTTGGCAACTTCATCAAGATATAATTTACATAGTGTAAAATTCACCTGTTTCAAGTATACAATAATTTTACAGTCTTCACAATCCAGTTTGGGAGCATTTCCATCACAGCAAAAAAAATCCCTAATATCTATTTTCAATTAACCCAGGACTAACCACTAGTCCTGGTGGTGGACTATTTGTGTTTTCCTGAGTTGTGATGAACTGACAAACTCCAGATTAAATCTTTTTTTTTTTAATAGAGGCATGTTTTATTTATTTATTTGTTTGTTTGTTTTGTTTATACATGCACTGGGTACAGCCAGAAGCGCGGGAGGGTGAGAGAATTCACCAGAGCCAGAGCGGGGAGCAGAGCAGGCAGAAGGACCGAAGTACACTGCTGAGGGGCGCAGCGGGCGGCAGGGGGGGTCTGCGCGCCATGTGGGACCCTCCTCAGGTGGCCGGGGAGCAGCTGGGGATCGAACCGGCGCCGCCGAGGTCGCGGGCAGCCTCGCAACCCAGCGCTCAACCGCTGAGCCACCGGGGAGGCCCCTCCAGATTAACTCTTAAAAGGATTAAGCCAGGAGTGGATTACCAATGAATATGGATGTGCATCTCCTGTTGGGTCTGCATGTAAGAGCTGCATGTGAGTTATTCCTTCATTCATCCACTAAGCAAAAACACAACTGGTTGTCCTACGTGGACCTTATTATTTAAATGGGGGCAGGAGCAGTGAGCGTATGCGTTCAGGCACAGCATGTGTGCATATGTGCAGGAGGTGGGCACACAAACATGCGCCAGGACTACACGAGTAATGGGCGCCCAACACAGGGCCAGTAGGTGCCGTGTGCGCCTGCGCAGCCTCGCAAGCGCCTAGAAACCGGTAACCGTAACTCGGGGTTCGAGAGTCGTTGGTCCTGCTGTTGGGGCTCCGCTATTTCGGACACGAGCGTCTACCCGTGACAACCACCGAACCCAGGCCTGGCAGGTAACCCCTCACCCGCGCGCTCTTCTCATTCAGAGCACACAAAGTGCATCAACACCCGAACGCGCTCCCAGGAAGCGGCGCTCCCCCTAGGCCACACCCCGCAACCTATAGGCCGCGCCTCCTTGGCCAGTGAAGCGCTTAGCCCCGCCCCTTTGAGCCGACGCCAGCAGCCACGTATCACGTTTCTACGTGTCTCGAGCTCAAAGCGGAAGTTACGCCAGGACTCGCGAGCGAGGCGGTGGACCTGAAAGGATATAGGTCGCTTAAGGAAAGGGGGCGGGCCGACGGCATTGGCAGGCGCCGGAAGTGGTCCCGCCGAGGAGGGGTGGGAGAGGGCTCGGCGAGGCAGTCCTTTCGGCTGTAGCTGGGCACCGCGGTAAGACGCAGCACCGCTCCTCTCCGAGCACCTGGCCGGCCCTCCGCCTCGGCCAGCATGGATTTCAGGGAAATCCTCTTGATAGCTTCCAAGGGACAAGGTGTCAACAACGTACCGGTAAGTACCAGCCGGGCGCTACTGTAGGAGACCCTAATCTTCAAGTTGTGTGTGTGTATGTGTGTGTCTGTGTGTGTGTGTGTGTGTGTGTGTGTGAGTGGCCCGTGGAACTTCCTAGGACTCTCCTGTCCACTCCAGGAGAGGACAAACCCGGACGCCTGTTTCTTGGGCGTGTGCTTTTAGGGACTTAGGTGAAGAGATGCTGGAGATGCGAGGCGAGCTGCTTTCCTGCGAGTAGGTTTCTCTCACTTAATTGCCTCTGCAACATGGACTTTTCGGTTTGGGTGTTTTAGAGTTGCGTGAAAGCTGGTGAGTGGAGCCGTGCCTGGCACATAGTGGGATCTAGTGCTAGTACTTTCTGGCTACGGCATAAACTTCAGCTCATAGGTTGAAGAGGAAGCATGTTTGTTGGGGAGTTCAGAGGTTTTAGGGACTTGGCCTGTGAAAGTCTTTTGGCTGATTTCCCGCCGATCTTAGGGTCAAGCATTTAGTGATTTCTCGAACTAGTTCTCTGACTCGTGGCCCCACCCACTCCACCAGCTAAGTGAATTATCACGTCGCGAGGGTTATCACCCGGTATTGGAAAGAAGTGTGCAGCAGATTCCATGAAATCTTCGGTGGGTTAGTTTCAGCCCCCTTTATGTGTGGTTTTCCACAGTTGTCTTTGTTTGAAATCTAGGTCCCATTTGTTCAGTGATATTTGCCGATTCGTTGATATTCACAGAGCAGTATAAGATCTTTAATCTAAATGCTGGAGAGTGGGGAGTGCCTGGTTTGCGTGGTTGGTGCTGTTTTGCATAAACTAGTCATTTCTGGATCCTCAGATGGTACCCGCAGCACAGCTGTAAACCAATAAATTGCGTTGTGATACCTGCGGTTTGAGCAGTGAGGTGTAGAACTCAAACAGTTCTCTGTTAAAGTCAATTCAACTGGAATTTATTGAGTGCTCACAATGTGCTCTGCATTTCTTACAGGCATAAATTTTATTACAATGTTTTTTTTTTTCCTTCTGTGTTTTTTTTTCCCGAGGCCGGCCCAGTCTTTTGCCTTTTTGAAAATATTGATCTGAGATAGTAAAATAACTGGTAAATAAAACTGATACCCATCAATTTGTGCGTCCCCTCCATATATATTTTCATCTCCTATCCCAAGTGCTCTGAATAATCATTACTCTTAAGTCATGAGTCATTAACTCTGCAGGTTGAAGCTGTAGCCTTTGAAACCTCGAACAACAGAATTACTTTCTGCATCTGTAAATTTCCTAGACATGTCAATATTGGATTTCATGACCATTCATCTTTGCATATTTATGTTCATATTTCATTCTAGCTGTTAATTTCAGTGGAGTTCAAAGATAACTGTGATGGCTAGGAATATCTGTGAAATCGTCATGATCGAATTAGTCATTTCTTGTCTTAAAACCAGTTGCTTTTGGGAGAAAAGCAGATATTCCTAGAGCATATTTCAGAATAATGTTTGTATTTCAGAATGGTCGTTATCTCTCCCTACCCCCAAGCTAGTAAACCTAGAAGTTTGTTAGTTAGCAGCATTATAATTCTTTTTTTTCACATCAGATAAAAATACATCACAAAAGAAACTCTTGAGGAATACAGCAATATTAAATGTAATCCATGATCCTTATTTTTTTTCTTGCTTTAATTTGATTCATCTAATTCTAAATATCAGCTCAAAGTAAAGTCTTTTTAGGACATTCCATCAGTGTAAACAGTGTTTATAGGGTCCAGGAAAACTGCTTCTTTCTGCAGAATTCTTCACCCTTTCAGGTGGTTTGGGGATAGAGCCCTACATAGTGTATACTCTAAAAATTTGGGACACTTATGAAACATTCAGAATGTTAACACATCCCTATATCCCCACACCCTATATTTAAAATATATTAATATTTGCCATATTCATATTTAAAAAATAGGCTAATATGACTGAAATCTCAGTTTTTTAAATTGTGAAATGTAACATATCTTACAGTGTAATAGATTAACACAAAACAAATACCTTGTAAACCAATAATCAAGCCATAGCATACACACCCTATTTGACTTATACGATTGATTGATTGATTGTTTGCTTGATTGATGACCTGAGAACCACAGAGGGTTTACAGCAGTTGACAGCTGTAGCTCCATCCCTTTGTAGTGATTGGTTTATTTTCCCCTTTTAACCAACTTCCTGCCTTCCATTTGGGTCCTTAATCTGAGCCAGCATTCACATTTCAGTCTTCAGTAGTTCCTATGTCAGACCTTTGCTACAGAAAGGAAATAAAATGACTAGCCTAATTAGACTAAAATCCAAAACAGCCAAATCTGACTCTTCGCAGAGCTTCATTTTTTTTTTTTTTTTAAGATTTATTTATTTATTTGTTTGTTTATTTATACAAGCACTGGGTACAGTCAGAAGCACGGGAGGGTGAGAGGATTCACCAGAGCCAGAGCTGGGAGCAGAACAGGCAGAAGGACCGAGGTACACTGCTGAGTGGAGCAGTGGGCACGGCAGGAGAGGTCTGCGTGCCTTGTGGGACCCTCCCTCCCCGGTGGCCAGGGTTTGAACCAGCGCTGCGGAGGCTGCGGGCAGCTTTGCAGCCCAGCACTCAACCGCTGTGCCACTGGGGAGGCCCACAGCAGAGCTTCATTTTTAACAGGTGCTGTTGTATATGACTTGAGAAGCAATGGATGTTTCCCTAATGAAACATCTTTTCCGTTTCTTAAGAGAAATAGTTATCTATAATATTTTAATTAAAACAAAGGGAAGATTGCATCATGCCTGCAAATATTAAGCACACAATCATCTCCCAGTGGAAAACTAAGTACAAACTAATAACTGATCAAGATGATGTAACCATTCATTGTTATTAGCTGTTTAAATTTAAAGGAGAAAAGGATATTTCTATTAACTTTGCACTTCAGATTTTTCTGGGTTCCTCTAGCAAAAAAACAGTGGTTGTCTTGTTCTGGTAGAGTCTTGGTCTTTTAGAACTTAGATTATGAATTCTGGTAGGTTTCTAGTAGCTACAATTGATGCCTTCTAGTGCATAAAACAAGTTACATGATTCTCATAGTCAGATTGTGAAAATCATCCCAAACAAACTACCCTGTTGCTCTGGTGTAACCTACAAACCAAAAAAGTAAAGAGGAAACCTTCCTGTGGTCTCAGATATGAAAGGATTTGGGCAGTGGAGTGGGGGAGGGGAAGTAGAGGGGGTGCTAAATATAGCACCTTGAGGATAGGAACATTAATTGCTGAAAATGAAGCCCACTGACTTTTCTGGGGTGGCAAATTAAGTTGTCCTCAGAGGCCAGGTAAATTATACGAATTGTTGAAGTACTCGGAATACAAAATGATAGGTGTCAAGCTCCTTTGGATTCAGAAAAAGCCTACCATTTATTTCTTTTTAAAGAACAGTCTGGTCCAACAAAAAGTTTCTGCAGGTAGTCACTTTGTAACTCTTGATCTATAATTGATTATAACTGTATTGCTCCCCTCTCTTAGATCTGAAGAATGCCTTTTTCCTGTGACTGGGATAGCTTTGGATTTCTAACATGGAGCATTGTTTTAGGAGAGGGTCTTTTAGAAACTGTCTCCACAAAGATTCTGTCATTTCTCTTCCCCATTATAACCTGGAGAATTGCTTTCTGAATAATAATGATGATAACAGTTAACATTTATAAAACTTACTCTGTGTCCGGCACTTTTCTAGTACTTTGTGTGTTAATTAATCACCATAATAGCCATATGAGAAAGGTTGTTTGAGGAAACTGAGGCCCAGAGAGGTGAAGCAATTTACCCAAACCACACAGTTAATAAGTGACAGGGCTAATGATGGCAGAGCAGGGAATCTAATCCAGGATGATTGACTCCAGAGTTGCTCGTAGTCTTGATTCTGTTAGGGAAAGTGTTTTGGATATGGGTGGTGAGGAAAGTTGTCATCTTTACATCCTGAATCCAACTCCCAGCTCCCTACCCCCAACCCCAGCCTAATACAGCTTTAGGCAGTAACCCTATTGACTTTTTTTGTTGACACTTCTCATTGTACAGTAAAATCTAATGGGAGAGCTATTTAAAGGCCAAACCAGTAGTATCTGGAAACAAGTGGATATTGAAATATTTACAGCCTGTTTGAGAAAGTGCCAGCATGGTTAACAAAATTAGAGTCTGAGGGTGAGAGAAGATAAGATTAAAAGTTCAGTGGTAGACCTGTTTGAGGTAGTGACACTATCCAAGAGTCAAGTAGAAATTAGGGAATGACATTAAAATTGAGGTTAGAGCTAAAGGTGAAAGTGTTGGAATTAACTGAGAAGTAAGCCATGTTGTAGTGGGACGGAAACACTTTTAGACCTGAGTCAAGAGACCTAGAATCTAATTCAGACTCTGCTACAAACTATTCGAGTAATATCAAGTGACTACTGAATACATAGTTTTCTTTTCTGTTGGTGCCATTTCTAACATACACGTTGGGCTAGAGGCACTCAGTTATATTTCATAAACACAGTAAGTAAATTTTACATTTAATCCTTTAGCATGCCACAAATAACATTAACTCTGAAATGCTTGCTTTTTTGGTTTTATTTTCACCTTCTTGGCCACCCAGGGAAGCAAACCTTTGGTTTTCTAGGCATGCATGTATTTGAATATTCTTAACCCCTAAATCTAACCAATAATAAATTTTTAACTTATCTGGGCCTCCCCGGTGGCGCAGCGGTTGGGCGCTGGGTTGCGGGGCTGCCCGCAGCCTCTGCAGTGCCGGTTCGATCCTGCTCCCCGGCCACCAGAGGAGGGTCCCACAAGGCGCGCAGACCTCTCCTGCTGCTCGCTGCTCCCCTCAGCAGTGTACTTTGGTCCTTTTGCCTGCTCTGCTCCCTGCTCTGGCTCTGGTGAATTCTCTCACCCTCCCGCACTTCTGACTGTACCCAGTGCTTGTATAAATAAATAAAAATAAATAAATCTTTAAAAAAAAATTTAACTTATGTGAAATCATCAAGAAATGT